GTGTTGAGGAACCACCCACGTTCACGCTGGCCGAGCGTGATACACATTGGCGAAGGGCGATGCTGGAGGAGATGAACGCGATCGAGGAAAATGAGACTTGGTAGCTCGTTGATCCACCTCCAGGATGTCGTCCGATCAGCCTGAAGTGGGTGTACAAAGTCAAGCGGGACAAGCACGTCGCCATTGTCAAGCACAAGACGCGTCTCATCGCCGAGGCTTTGTCTAGTGCGAGGGCATCGACTTTGAGGAAGTCTTTGTACCGATAGCGTGCATGGAGTCTGTCCATTTGCTACTAGCTTTGGCAGCAGCAAAGGACTGGCGCGTCCATCACTTGGACGTTAAATCGGCCTTCTCAACGGTGAGCTAGTGGAGATGGTCTTTGTGAGACAACCTGCGGGTTTCACCATCAAGGGAGCGGAGCATAGGGTGCTCCGACTGCGCAAGGCACTCTATGGGCTGCGGTAGGGCCCACGAGCGTGGAACGCCAAGCTTGACGCCATGCTGGGTGAGCTTGGGTTCACGAGGTGCGCAACCGAGCACACACTCTACATGCGGCGACGGGGGAAGGAGGAGCTCATCGTCGGCGTGTATGTGGATGATTTGATCATCACCGACGCTCGTGCGGAGGACATCGATAGCTCTAAGCGTGAGATGGCAGCTCGTTTTCGAATGAACCATCTCGGTGTGCTCTCCTACTACCTTGGCATTGAGGTAAGATAGGAGGAGGAGGAGGCACTCATGCTCGGTCAGAGCGCGTATGCCTCAAAGCTGTTGGAGCGGAGCAGCATGGCTGAGTGTAAGCCGTGTGTGACTCCAATGGAGGAGCGGATGAAGCTGACAAAGGCCAATATCATGGCGAAGGTAGATACAACACTCTACCAGAGCATCGTCGGTGGTTTGCGCTACCTAGTCCACATGAGGCCGAACATTGCATTCGCCGTGGGCTACGTCAGTCGCTTCATGGAGGATCCCAGAGAGGATCACTAGGCTGCAATGAAGCAGCTGCTGTGCTACATCAAGGGGATGGTGGATTAGAGGATCATCTTCCCCAAGACCGGTGGAAGTAGGCTACAACTCACTGTGTTCAGCGATGCAGACATGGCAGGGGACATCGACGGACGGCGGAGCACCTCTGGTGTGCTCGTCTTCCTCGGGTCGGCTCCAATTTCATGGTTGTCGCTTAAACAGAAGGTGGTGACGCTATCTACGTGCGAGATAGAGTACGTAGCGGCAGCCACAGCGGCGTCCCAAGTTGTGTGGCTACGCCGGCTGCTGGGCGAGCTGACCGGTGTGGAAGCTCACCCACCAGCACTGATGGTGGACAACCAGCCCGTCATCGCCCTCGCGAAGGATCCGGTTCTCTATGATCGGAGCAAGCACATCGACGTGAAGTTCTACTTCCTCAGGGACTGTGTCGATGGAGGGCAGATCATCATCGAGTTCGTCGAAACTGGTCGGCAACTTGTAGACGTCCTCACCAAGCCGCTCGGACGTCTTCGGTTCACGGAGCTGAAGGAGATGATCGGCATGGAGGGGGTTCAAGGGTTAGCAGTAGGATTAGGGGAAGAATTATTAGATAATCTACTGCTACCTTGTGTGAACACACAGCAGAGGAAGGCGGCGCCAAAAAGATACCCTACTGTGGTACTGTAGCCGCTGCAGAGGCATGCGTCGAACGGCTCACCTGCCACACTGTAGCTACAGCATGAGCAGAGACGCCAGAGTCAGCTCTGCTGTGTTATCTAGTCACTGTAGCAGCATGACTGCTGTACTAAGACTAGATGGATAGAGTTGTATATATAGTTTGTCACTGCAACTCAGTAAAGAGAGAGTTCAGTTTTTGCCATCTACTCTGTAGAGCTCCGGACAACGCTGGTGTTTTTACTGTGTGTATGTATGCTCTGTTCTTCCTCCCTTGTTCTATCTCTAGCCATAGTATGTGGTCGGACAACGTCTGCCGTGGTCGGCAAGATAATCATGTGTGGGCCAACAAACCTCCTGCCAGTTTGACATTTGAATGAAAGAAAGGCAGCATGCGCCAAAGATAGCAGAATCTGAACAGAACAAAAAATTCTTCTGATCCCATCCCATGGTCCAAAGATCAGAGCCGAATCAAGCTTTTGCTGATCGAGATGTTACATAGGGAAGCACAATCTTAAGAGGTGTGATGAAAGAGACTTTGCAGGGAACTATTGCCTCCAGTTGGAGCAGTGGTTGATCGGAACTGATTGGACAAAAAAGTAAAGGAAACCGTGGTTGATAGTCAGAACTGAACTACTGAAGGCACAAAAGGAGAACATCAAGAAACGATGCATCAGTGGATTCCAAGGCAAGAATAGGGTTGTTCCAACTTCCAAACGTCCAATCTCCTTGTCTCTGCCATGCATGTAGTGAAGTGCAGTGTACTTCTGAATTCAGATACAAAATTATATTGCAGTTCAGAGTTCCACCTTTCACTGCCGTTCAGAAAGAAAAACACCCGCACTTGAGATTAAGCATCCCTGTCCAGGACCAACCCTTTTTCACTGAGATAGTCCTCTTGCTGTAATCATAATACCCAGTAACACACGGCCCGTGAATTTGTAATCTTCTGGTTAGTAAATAATTTTTGATATATGATAGATGCGTTGTTGTCTTTGAGCTGGCAGAGTGAAATCTGCAAAAGCAGCTGTGATTGTTAAGGCAATATCAAAGGGTTGCCTTTGTTCTTGCATGGCTTGGCTACTTTATTATATGGGGGACACAATCTTTTCATCATCCCCATCACTTTCTTTGTGTGAAAGGGTTGTCGAATGATGGCTCAAGGGATTTCCTAGCTAAATGCACATGTCAAATGCTAACCATACTCCTAATTGTACCGCGATCACCTGTAACTGGCAAGAGGGTTTCAGTGGTCCTTGTTTTTTATGCCACAATTTATTATATGTCAAAACCCACATGCTAGAATATTTTTATTGTTCTAAAAATGGTAAGTCCGAGATGACACTGAGCTGCGGCAACTGACGGTTAAGGTGCACACTAGTTTTATGCGTTGATCGAGGACATTTGTATTCTGCAGCGTGCTTAATTCTACTGGGAGTAGTTTATATGCTCTCTTTCTGAAGGTTCCAAGTTAAAAGACCTATTCAAGTTCAGCGTTGAGACTTTTGAGGTTGAGCTGGATCTGGATGACAAATGGTTTGGTAGATACAAGGGCTATTAGCCTGGCTCATTAGCCATGCTACAGTATTTTTGTCTCCAAACAAATCATCGAACAGTACTTTTCAGCTTGTCTTTTCAGCGAAGCGAACATGGCCAAAAGACAAGCTGAAAAGTTTCGCTGATTTGTTATGAGATGGGGATAACGAGGAAAAATCATAAAATGATTTATACCAACGAACACATGCACATACTGAACAGGAAATCATATATATGCAAGGATGACTTTGCTCTAAAAGTCATCAGTCAATGGAGGAGCTGATCCTTCGACTAGCTTGTTAATGAAGTCCTGCATTGACGCTTGCTGTTTGGTTGGTTGGTAGCTCATATATCATTAAGTCAGAATTATGTCATAAGAAATTGGCGTCTCTGAATCAGCCATGCGTATCACTACGAGCACCGTATTTTGTTGACAAAATAACATTCCACTCTTGTAAGAAGCGGTGTCCTGGCAACAAGAGTGCAGTTTTGTCAACCCCTGTAATCTTTGTGTGACATCAGTCAACGTTCCAACCTACAAAAATCTTGTCTAAGAGGTTGCGAAGACTGCGGCTACGAACTTCTGAATTAATATTTCAGTTAGTTGGCTGTTGCGAATATCCCTATATACATTTACATTCAATAGCAATATCACAATTGGCTGCGTGGTTTGATATAGATGAGATAGGATAAGACTGCACATGATGAACCTATCTACAATATTACTAACAGGCTTAATGCATACGTTCTAGGAGTTTCGTGGGAGTTTCATGTGTATTAAATAAGCTGATGTGACATAGTTTAATTGAAGAGAGAGATGAAAATAGTTTCTTGGGATGAAACTTGTTTACACTATTTCTAACACTAAAGAGTCTTGAAAACAGAGCCATGAAACTCTCACTGAGACTAGCCTTAGGGAACCAACATTTAGACGATACCCCTAATATAATAAACTAAGTAGGAAATAAATCTATATGGTAGATTCTTAAAGCATTGTTTGAAAGTGAAAAATAATTTACGCATAATTTGTTAGATGCACAATGCATGTTAAGTGCACTACTACTAGTAACATATAACTTGGCATTAATTCAAGGGATGATGAGATAGATTACTAGCTTCAATAAATAGGGTTACATGGATAATTTTTGTTGAGCACTAATTTATTTATCCTAAAAATTCTAAAACATCAAGCTTTTTAGGACGGGGAGAGTACTTAGTAACAAGTAAAGCTATAATGTTTACACTTGTATGGATTTGTGTTGAAGTTGCATTGGAACCATTTCTTTATACTACTATCATGTTTCCCTTTCATGCAAATCCTAATTAATAACAACCAGAAGCTAGATATATCCTACTGGAGTAGAATATTACTACAAAAAATAGTCAGCATGGAAATCAAAACATTGATTATGATGGACTAATTCATTTTCCTCGTTCAACAAACAGAAATAAAAAATTGGGTTCAAATAGTAGAAGGGCCACGGCTTGGCAATTGCATAACAGCCCGTGCAAAGCAAGCGAAAGGGACCCACGACGACGAGCAGGAAATTAAGCCTGGCCAAGTGGTAGCACCGTCGCCAGGTCCCAAACTCCAGTCTCAGTATCTCCCGTGATACACACGTACCCCGTACTGGAGGACGACTGCCTCGTCGTCTTCCCACTCCCCTCGTCCTCCATTGTCCTTTATAAAGGAAGGTCGCAATGGCGTCTCCACCGTGAAGTTGCAAAGCTAGCTCGCTTGCAAGTCGCAACGGTTTTTTGCTAGCTGGTTGCGTACGTGCCTTTCTTTATTTGCGAGCGAAAGGAGTTTCTTACAACCAACAATGGGGAGGCAACCGTGCTGCGACAAGGTGGGGCTGAAGAAGGGCCCGTGGACAGCGGAGGAGGACCAGAAGCTCGTCATCACCTTCCTCCTCACCAACGGCCAGTGCTGCTGGCGCGCCGTGCCTAAGCTCGCCGGTGAGTGATCACCATATCCGATCTCCCTCATTGGCCGGCGGCTAGCTTTGCTTTGTTTTGCTTTCACGCTGCCTAGCTTAGTGCCTTAGCCTTGCATGCACGCCAAGACGCCATGATGATGAACTCACTCGTGTGCTTGTGCTCTTTGAATAATAAACAGGACTACTGCGGTGTGGGAAGAGCTGCAGGTTGCGGTGGACCAACTACCTCCGGCCGGACCTCAAACGCGGGCTGCTGTCGGAGGAGGAGGAGAGGACGGTGATCGACCTGCACGCGCAGCTGGGCAACCGGTGGTCCAAGATCGCGTCGCACCTGCCGGGGAGAACGGACAACGAGATCAAGAACCACTGGAACACGCACATCAAGAAGAAGCTCAAGAAAATGGGCATCGACCCCGTCACACACAAGCCCCTCCATCAGCCCACTTCTCCTCCTCCTCTGACTCTGCCGGAGCAGGATACCGGCGGATCGCCGGAGAAGGAGGAGGAGGAGAAGGCCGTCGTCGTGGCAGCTACGCCAAGCATCGGGCACGAGACGTTCTGCACCGACGAGGTGATCATGGCGCACCTCCTTGACGACATCGTCTTGCCACCGGCGGCCAGTAACAGCGGCCTCACCACGGCTTCTTCTCCGGACTCTTCGTCCTCCTCCTCGTCCCTGTCGGCCTCGTTTGCAGCGGCGTCGTCGAGCGTTGGCAGCAGCATCGCCGACGGAGAGTGGCCGCCGCAGATGATGGAGTGGCCTGAGTCCATGTTGCTGGACGACGTGGTGACCGGCCCGGCGACGGCGTGGGAGTTCGAGGACCCCTTCGTCACTTACCAGAGGATCGCTCTGTTCGAACAGGATCACCAGGAGACATGGAACAACGACGGCAGGGTCGAGCTCTTCTGAGCTGCTAGCTCGTCATTAGTTGTAGCGCTGAAATTTCATCGCCGGCTACTCGTGTAGGCGTCGATCGAGTTTGCGATCCACAGACAGTATTACCAATCAACATTCACAGTCGTTGAAAATAAGTAAGAGAAAGAAATGAAGTGGTTGCACTTGCACCCTGTTTCTTACATATTTTTCTAAACCTTTAGCCACCAGCCACTTGCAAATTAAGAAACCGTTGGAAAATGTACGTTATCAATCTCGTAGTGCTGTTTGTCATGCACACATCGGAGACCTCTCCTTCACGCATCATGTAAAACAGTAAAAAAATGGATAATGAAATGGGAGAAACCTTTCCGTGGATTGTTGTTGGACATGCAAGATTTCTACGTTGAAAATGGGAAACCAAGCCACTTTGTACTGCAGGTTCCTATTTCTACTAAAAGACGTTTCCATGGTTGTCATATTACAATTTTAACCCACTGCATGCAGGCATACTGCTGCCTTTATTCAACCCTGATAGCGACTGTCGATTACGTTTCCTCTCTCTTTCTTCAGTGCCGTTCTGTACATGTCACTGCAAATGGTTAGAGCGTCGACATAAATTTAGCACGCTGTAGTTTACCTTGACTTGACGCAGGGCGGCACTTGAGTCTTGAGGTAAAGAGACAGGGGTAGCTAGCAGCTACTAGTAGATGATGGCACCTTTTCAATATGACATGCATGAAAATTCTGAAATGTGTAGCGCATGAAAGGTCGTTCCATTCTGAAAGTCAAATCCCGACTTATATATATATCCATCGCAAATTCCATTTGTGCTGTTGTAGCAGTACTAGTATTTTCCATGCTTCACTTCTTCACTGTCGACCTTTCCAAGAGCTACAATCTAGCTAAGATATCCTACGAGAAAGTGGTCTAAGAAAACAAATAGTAGCAGAAGTATATCTTTTACCAGGAAAAAGCAGAAGTATATCTTTTACCAGGAAAATGTATGGAAAAGCACCTTTTTACTTTGGACTTTGAAGAGAGAGAGACGCGGCTGTGCATGCGTGCGTGCTCGCGGTGCTTCTTCTCGTATGCTTTGTTTGGCTCATAAGCCATGGCTGAAAGTACTGTTTGTTGATTCGTTGTGAGAAACAAATATTGTTCGTTGGCTGAAAAAGTACGACCTATAAGCCAAACAAATAGGGCGATATTCTGGACTCTTCCAAGGCAGGCCCAGTGGATAGCCGCCACGTGTGCCTCCGACATTTGTGCTCGTCATGATGCCCCATGCAGAGAAAGAATGGGAGAAGTGGAAAAATCCTGTGAAGTGGAGTCAAGACCCAGTCATTATAATGAACCCTAACCATTAATAATGAATCACATACTAATTTCACATATATACACACAATCCTTAAGCCCAATTTTATAGTCCAATGTACAAACCCTATTACCTAAGGCCTAACATAATGGGATGTGAGAGAAGGAGAAACACACTCATGGACTCACCAGGTCACTAACTAGGGCGGGGTGGCAGGGGTGCCACATGGCGTCCACGCTATCATCTCGCCTCGGCTATCTATCGGTTGTCGGGTCGCCCGCACTCTTGGCTCTCGCTGTTGATGGCGGCGGCCGAGCCCAGATCGTGAGGGCCGGGCCGAGCCTAGGTGGCGGCTGGGCCACGGGGATGGGAAGGGGAGAGTGGACCAGCTGGGAGTTTAGGGCCCAAGGGGAGGAGAGGGTTTTCCCATTTTTTAGCTTGGGTTTTTGAAGTGAAGAACAACTCCCAACAAAACCAAGCAAGAACCAAAGTGCCACACATGCATGAAAACTATAACAGAGATGCACGAATTAATTTAGCAAGTTCCCATTGAAGGGGATAATGAGGAGTTAATGTTTTTGGTTTTAGTAATAAGATAACATGTGTGAGGGTCATTTGTTGAATTTGAGTGCGGGCTCGAATTCAACTCAAAATTTTATTTCTTCTGAAAACATTTTTACTTTTGAAAATAACCTTCACTACGGGAGACGCGCTCTTTGCCGAGTGCTCGGCGCTTTGCCGAGTGTCGAAACACAGGCACTCGGCAAAGAAGCAGTTTGCCAAGTGCCGCACTCGGCAAAGCCGGCCCTCGGCAAAGGCCGTCTTTGCCGAGTGTCAAACACTGGGCAAAGAGGGACACTCCGCAAACTTCTTATTTGCCGAGTGTCAGACACTCGGCAAAGAATAACCCTCGGCAAAATACCTCAGCCGACGCCGGTGGCCCCTCCGTCATCCTTTGTCGAGTGCTGGACGTTAGCACTCGGCAAACGTGCTGTCTTTGCCGAGTGCTGCAAGCCTGGCACTCGGCAAAGAGGTTCCTTTGCCGAGTGCCAATTCCGACACTCGGCAAAGTATTTTTATTATTTTTATTTTTGTTTTCAAATTTTTTCTGTGGCATTTATACAGTACCTTGAAGCACATGTTCCAATTTGGAACTTTTCTATGACTTTTTGGTATATTTTTTTAATTTTTTATGTTTAGTTGAATTTTTCTCGAAAAAGTAAATTTGAACTGCAGGTGCATGAAATATTAGAATTTAGCGATTCAAAAAATGGTATTCATATTTTTGAGTGTATTTTGAGGCCGTGTGCAGGGACATTCGTAAAATTTCGAACATCTGTTTCACGAAACAGGACCACCAACTTGTTAAACAAGTGTTTTTTAATTATATAAAATGCAAACGAAGTCTGAAAATCACGAAACTTGTCGAGGTGTCGTGCCATCGCATGTAGAGGCTGTGATAAAAAATTTAGAAGTTTTCGAGCAAGTTGTGACGTACGATGCCTAAAACCCAGACATCTCTTAGGCATCATACGTCACAACTTGCTCGAAAAGGCATCGTACGTCACAACTTGCTCGAAAACTTCTAAATTTTTTATCACAGCCTCTACATGCGATGGCACGACACCTCGACAAGTTTCGTGATTTTCAGACTTCGTTTGCATTTTATATAATTAAAAAACACTTGTTTAACAAGTTGGTGGTCCTGTTTCGTGAAACAGATGTTCGAAATTTTACGAATGTCCCTGCACACGGCCTCAAAATACACTCAAAAATATGAATACCATTTTTTGAATCGCTAAATTCTAATATTTCATGCACCTGCAGTTCAAATTTACTTTTTCGAGAAAAATTCAACTAAACATAAAAAATTAAAAAAATATACCAAAAAGTCATAGAAAAGTTCCAAATTGGAACATGTGCTTCAAGGTACTGTATAAATGCCACAGAAAAAATTTGAAAACAAAAATAAAAATAATAAAAATACTTTGCCGAGTGTCGGAATTGGCACTCGGCAAAGGAACCTCTTTGCCGAGTGCCAGGCTTGCAGCACTCGGCAAAGACTATTCAGAATTTTTTTTATTATTTCGGATTAAAAGAACCCTGAATTTCTTTGCCGAGTGCCCGCATCTCGGCACTCGGCAAAGAGCCGCCCCACTTAAACCTAGCGGACCGGCCGACCTGCTCCCACTCTCTCACTCCCTCTCACTGCCGCGCGCGCCCGGCCCCGCACCGCCGCCGCCACGTCCACCGGCACCACCCCGGCCCCGCTCCACCGTCGGAAGCAGGCCTCGCCCCGGCCCCGCTCCGCTGCCGTAGCCAGCCGGCCCTGCCCCAGCGCCGCTCCGACGCTGTAGCCGGCCGCGCCCCAGGCCCGCTCCGCCGCCGGTGGTGCCCTGCCCGGCTGCTCCCCGCCCCTGACCCGCCAGAGTGGAGGAGAGGAGGAGCAGGGGATCTAGTAGAGGAGAGAAGGGAGGTGGAGGAGAGGAGAATGGAGAAGGAAGAAGGAGAAGGGAGGAGAAGGAGAAGGAGAAGGGAGGAGGAAGGAGAAGGGAGGAGGAGGAGCCTCGGCCGCCGGCCACGCCCCTCGCCGTTCGTCCCCGCCGTCGTCCCCGCCCCTCGCTGGAGACGAAGGTGACCCGGCACCGCGTCGCCCGACTCCACTGCCACCCAAGGTATAAAGCCCCCCCTGGTTGTTGGCCTTCGTGCCTTGTATGTCATTGATGGCCTTCGTGTCGTATGTGGATGTGTGGGCCTTCGTGCCGTACGTGGATGTGTGGGCCTTCGTGCTGTATATATGCTATCGGCCATCGTGCCGGCTTTTTTCTTGCAGGTTTTGGAAACCTCCCCGTATAGGAGAGGTTCTGCCAAAATTTTTAACTTATAGTATTATAATTCTTCTTTTGCAGAGCAGGACCCATCGGAGGGTACCCGGAGTATGTAGGCGACCCCAATCGTCTTCGTCGGCGCTGTGGTCCTGCCTGCACAGCGTCGCCTCGCCACTGCCCCGCTAGCCTGACTCCACCGCCACCCTAGGTATAAATAACCTCTCTTCCTTATCGTTGTCGTATATCGGTGTAACCTAGTTAGGCGTCTCCCGTTCGAAATAGATACGGTTGGAGGTATGCGAATCTTTGCATATCTAAGACCGTATATGTTTCAGATTGTCCACTTTTTTGGACAGCCCGCGGATGCGTAGATGGGGTAGTTTTCATATTCTGCTTCGATCCGAGATAGAGTTTCGGCACCACCTCCCTGTTGTTCTTCGGATACACACTCTCCCTTCCAGGACGTGTATCGGGAGAACAACGAGGAGGTGCTGCCAAAATTCTATCTCGGATCAGAGTAGAGCATGTAAACTAACCTCATCTACGCATCCGTGGGTGGGATTAGGACCTATCCTCACCCATTAGACAGTAGGCACGCCGTTCAGATGCAATTGGTGGTTATATTACTCGCTCATGTATATGCTAGAGGATGGATAACCGTGAGTGGATGTACACGGGCCGTCCAAGTTAGGCTAAAATCACCCCTGAATGGATGGACAAGACCGAGGGTTTCTTGAACAAAGCATTTGGCAAGGCAGCTAATGGAGCGAGAGACACATTCTGTCCCTGTAGCGAATGCAGAAACAGGAAAAGAAAAACAAGGAAGATCATGTGGGAACATCTTTGCAAGTATGGATTTACGCCAAACTATACCCGGTGGGTGTTCCATG